GTACTTTTCTTTTCCTTTTTAATACGTTTTTTTTTTCGTTTTTCCACAATTGTTGCTGAGAATATGACATCGTTTTAGTTTTTTTTCCAGTTTTGATCCTTTTTACAAGGATTGACCGCTCTTGATCCCCTCTACTATACACACTATGTCTAATGCCACCCAAACTATCAAGTTCTTTATCGGACCCCTCAAACTATAACATTTCTGTCTATTTTCCCCTATCGAATTATAAATCTAAAATCGTGATTGTATTTTCAAAATCGTGATTGTGTTTTCAAAATCACGATTACTTCTTTAAATCACGTTTTAATAGACCCGACCCAACAAAACCCAATAACTAAACCCGACCCGACGAGACAAAACCTAATAGCTAAACCCGACCCATCCACCATCTCATTCAGTCATGTTCTTCGTCTGAAAATCGCAAGCATTAGTGTTCTTTGTCTGAAAATCGAATTGGGGGAAATCCATTCCATTCCAGGTTTGCATCATTTCTTTAGAGTGATTTCATTTCCTGAGCTCATTGTTGTTTAATTCCGTTTCAGATTATGCTATCATCGTTGCTTAATTTCGTTTCATTCCATATTTTGCTATCATCGTTGCTTAATTTCGTTTCAATTTGTGGACAGAGGTATAATGAGCTCTTATTTATCTGCTTCATCTCGATCCACAAACAGAAGGCCAGTGACTGGTGTTCCATTAAGATGTTGGTGTGGGAGCAAAATTGTGACATATGCTTCGCAGACAAAGGAAAATCTTTTTCGCAGATTCTATAGGTGTGAGGTGGCCTTGCAGGTACTCTCGAGTAGATAATAAGTATACATATATGAGAGTGTTATTTACATTTGATGAAAGTCTTATTTTGTTTAGAGGAAAATGGAGGATCATCTTTTCAAATGGATTGATGAAGCCTTGCTTGATGAAACTAAAATGTTGGAGGCGAAGCATATGCAGCTTGTAGAAGAGGTGAAAGCGCTGAAAAGAGAAATGGTGAAGAACTTGGAACTTCAAAACAACATGCTTTACAAGATGGAAAAAGAAATCAAAGAGAAGGTGGATGAGAAGATGAAGGATGTGATTATGATCGCTAATGCAAGTATGCATAAGATTGATGGAGAGTTGGCTAAAAAGTGTATGCAAAAAGTAGGGATCACAATCTTGGTTGTAGGAACCATAAGATGGATTTGTGGGAAGTTTTTATGAGCTAGTTAGTTCGAAAACTTGTTGTCAGTTAGGTGTGTGTTTGAATTAAAGATGAGTTTGAGTTTATGTATGTTAAAGTGGGGTTGCGTACCTCTTTGAAGTTTGAGTTTATGTTTGTAGTATACTGAAGTTTGAGTCGGTTATAAATGGTCAGTTTTGTGTTTCAATCGATTGTCTTGTTATGGTCATAGAGTTTGTGTTACAATTGCTTACTAATGACAATCTGCTTGCAATTTTTTGTTTAAAACCAACACAAATATCAGCAAACAGACTACATAATCAATAGAAGTTGCCTCTTCAAATGGTTCATAAAACAGAGTACATAAGATAATTGCCACGAAATTGCTTAAAAGGTACATAAAACCCACGAAAATGCCTCTTCAAATGTAACAAAACAAAGTAAAACCAGAGACAAAGACAAAGACATAATCTGGATTCAAAAAAGATAATTATCACTCGGATCCCTTATCACTCGGACATTTGAGAAGGTTGAGTGAGTGAAATGATTTGACGTCCTTCATATAAAACTATAGCTCCTTCATAATTAGTGCCCTGAAATGAAGAGGAAATAGAACAATCCGTAAGAGGCAGTTCATAACAAAGGTTTAAACTAAAGACAATGCCAAAACAAAACATAAATACGAATGAAACGAACTAAAACCAAACATAAACAAAACATGAAAAACAAAGACATGAGCAAAATATTTGAAAACAAAGACATAAGCAAACACCACAATCGATAATCGAGTAAGACAAGACAACTAAAACCAGAGACAAAGACAAAGACATAAGAAATACCACAATCGATAATCGAGTAAAACAGAGGCAACTAAAACCAAACACAACTAAAACCAGAGACAAAGACAAAGACATAATCTCATACCTGGTCACTTGGTTCTTCTGTAGGCTTCAGCTTCTTCTTAGGGTGTATCTTACATCCAGCTGCATTATGTCCAGCTTCACCACACTTTGAGCAGTGGATAACACGTCCAGTCCTTGGTAATTTTTTGACCTGCTTCTTCTTCTTCTTCTTTGGTGACTCGAACTTTCCTTTAATTCTTTTTTGATTCTTCTTTTTCTTTCTTCCAGGTAGATCAGGTTCTGGGGGAGCTATTACAAGTCTAAAAGAACCGGTCATCCAGAATCTTGGTCCTCTTACAGGTTTGACATTTTCACTGTAACACTCTCGCCACTTACTTGTTGAGAACCAGTGAGACACAAAGTTCTCTGTATCCAAACCTGCATCGATCATTGCTCCATAAACATGCTCACATGGGATTCCTGTTATTTGCCACTTACAACATGAGTATATCCTCTTTACAGTGTTTACACTGTAACCATTCCCAAACAGATCCACCTCAAATCGTCCATAGGAAGCATGAGTTATTGTGCATTTATCAGCATTCTCCTTCTCTTCAGCAAGAACTTTTTTAACATATTTTGAACACCTACTATCCCACTTCTCTGCTTTCTTGTTTCTCTTTGAATTTCTAGCCATTGCTTGCCTCCTAATTGTCTCAAGCATTGGTATGATTGCCTTCGCTCTTGCCTTGGTAATAGTCGAGTTGAAAGATTCAGTAGAATTATTATCCACATTATCGCAGAAGCTTCCAAGCTTGTAAAACGCCAAGGACCAAGTTTGTGGCTCCTCCTTCAAAACATCCTCATACAATGCTCTGTCATACTCTCTCAGCTTCTTGATATTCTCTTCATATTCAGTCACACTATAGCTCCAAGCAACATTCCACACCATCGGCTTTAGCAAGTCTTTCCTTCCATGGTTCTTCTTCAAGTTCTCAACAATGTGTTTAACACACTTTCTATGTTCTGCATTTGGCAATTCAGCTTTGACTGCAGTAATTAGTCCCTGAAAATACAAAAGAGACATTTCTTACATAAGTTACGAATCAAAAATCCATAAGTTACGAATCAAAAATACATAAGTTACATATCGAAAACTGAAAATCATAACAGAAATAGAACTTACTTTTGATCTGTCGGAGATCATGACATAGCCGCTGCCATTTCCAAGCCCTAAGTCAGCCTTGATTCGCTTCATAAACCATAACCAGTTGTCAGTATTCTCAGATTGTACCACAGCCCAAGCAGCCAGATATATCTGATTATTCGCATCATGACCAACTGCAGTAAGCAAACACCCTTTCACAGCAACCTTTAAAAAAGTCCCATCAAGGCCAATGATTGGCCGACAAGCCGCTTTCCATCTCCTTCGGAGGTTTTCAAAACAGACATAAAACCGGTTGAAAACTTCTACTTTGTTTGCATTTTGATAGGTTTCAACAATGGCAGTTGATCTCTTGTTCCTCTTCAGGATCTCCTGGACATAACCGTGAATATGAGCAAACTGATCTTCATACTCTCTCTCAAGCCATTTCAAAGCTAGCAGTCTTCCATTCTGACATTGATTCCTCGTGCTCACTAACCTCTAATTCTCTTTGATAAGAGACTGAATTGTTTCAGGCATTAACTTTATGTCTTGCCTCAGTTTGTCTAAGAAAAGCTTCGCAATCACAGGACCTTTAAGCAGCTTGCATTTCCATTAGGTGTGCAACTGTGATATCCATACTTAGTCTTTATAATCCACTTCTGGCTCGACTTATCATATGAGCAGTACAGCCACCATTTGCACTTCTCATCTACGCCACACCTATATCCGAGCTTTGTTTTATCCCATCTTTCCTGTCTAATGTTCATTGATTTCTTCAAAGCATAATCCAAAACAGCTTCCTTAAACTCATAGCCCGTATAGAATGTAGATCCTACAGCTAATTTACCCTTCTTCTTACTTCTCATTCTTCTATTTCTCAAAACCAATTCATCCTCCTCTTCACTATCCGAACTATCTGGAATATTCCTTGTCCCTATTTCCTCATCAACAAAGTTAGCTACAGATTCCTCAATCTCAAACTCATATCGCTCTGCTATATCCTCTTCTTCTTCTAAAATCTTACTCTGTTGTTTTTTCACATTCCTGGCTTTCTCATCCTCGCTTTCATCGGCCTCTGAATCATCCTTCTCTCGTTCCTTCTCGTTTCCATCTCTCATCTCTGTCTCATTTCCATCTCTCATTTCTGTCTCGCTTCCATCTCTCATCTCTGTCTCATTTCCATCTCTCATCTCTGTCTCGTTTCCATCTCTCATCTCTGTCTTGCTTCCATCTCTCATCTCTGTCTCGTTTCCATCTCTCATCTCTATCTCGTTTCCATCTCCCATATCTGTCTGCTTTCCATTATGATTCTCACTTTCCTTCTCAGCTTGCTGAATGAACACATCAACTACACCTCCATTGAGAGCTTCGGTACACATCCGCATAATATCAACATCAGAGCTTAAAACAACTATAGACCTTACTGATTCCATATGCTCATATGGAAGCTTGTACCAAATGTTTTGAACATAACCGCCACCTAATTTATGCTCTTCACAAAAACCATCAAAGACGCTCCATGTCATGTAATCTGGATCAACGATTATGTCTGGCTTCAACGCTCCTCCAATGTATCTAACCTTATTATCCGTAAACTCCATAGCTCCTCCATAATACAAGTTCATCTTTATAGTGTCAAAGTCACTGCAAAACCCAAATAATGTACTCAATAACGAAGCAATGTACGCAACATAAGTAATGTAGTCAAAAGCGAAACAACTAAACATTAAAAAAGCACAGAGGAAATTGATTTAATACCCCATATTCTTCCGAAAAGGAAAACTCAAAAGATGAATTCTTGATGTTATCTTCAATGTCTCACTCTGTAAACAGATCGACGAACCTTGGAATAGAATAGATTTTTCCCAATTCGATTTTCAGACGAAGAACAGGACTGAATGAGATGGTGAATGGGTCAAGTTTAATTATTAGGTTTTGTTTTGTCGGGTTAAATTTAGTTATTAGGTTTCGTTGAGTCGGATCTATTAAAATATAATTTAAAGAAGTAATCGTAATTTTGAAAATACAATCATGATTTTAAAAATACAATACGATTTTAAATTTATAATTTGATAAGAGAAATAGACCGAAATGTTATAGTTTAAAGGGTCCAATAAAAAATTTGGTTGAAATTAGACATATATATATATAGTAGAGGGGTCAAGGGCAGTCAACCCTTTTTACTACGAGGGAAGATAATTACACGAGTCGTTTACAATTATTTGATAATTTTGCCCCTGAGTTTAACACCTAGAACCTTCTCCATCTTCGCGAGCACGGCTTGGTTAGGAACGGCTTTTCCGTTTTCGTATTCTTGAACCACCTGTGTACGCTCGTTGATCTGTTTCGCTAGATCTGCCTGCGACATCTTCTTCTCCAATCTCGCCTTCTGTAACGCGAGCCTAACCTCTGCTTTCACGCGATCCATCGCGGAAGGCTCTGTTTCCTCCTCCAGCTTCCTCGTGTTTATCACCGGCGTAGCCGTGGATTTCCCCTTTTTGTTCGAGCCGGCGTCGAATTTCTTCACCGTCTGCACCGCGACGCCGCTTCTAAGCGCGGCGTTAACCGCCTTTGGATCGCGCAGGTCTTGGCTCTTTTGCTTCGATTTGTGTAGCACCACCGGCTCCCAGTCCTGCGTCACTGCTCCTGGGTATCTGCTCGGCATCGTAGTTGGTTTTGAGAGAAAAGAAAAAAGCGAAGAATCAATTGATATCTTAGTTTCTGAGAATTGAGAACAATGAACACAATGAATATGTTCGTGGAGAGGGTTGTGAATTTATAGACAAAGTTGAGTTTCTGGAGAATTCGATCATCTTTTTCCTCCATTTTCGTATCTGGAAAGTTCGTAAGACTGTAATGACGTGTCTTATCCTTATTGGGTATTCAATCTAGTGACGTGGCATTTTGAAAAATTGACTCCTTCTCTCGATATATTCAACGGTACACAGTGATAGAAGTGAATCGGACGGTCATCAGGGCCTCAAAAGAGTGATGACCGTCGATAAAAATTCCCTAATGAGTATTGGCGCTAACCTTTTCCCCCCTTCTCGATTTCTATGAGCTCAAAAGAGCCGCTCTCTCTCTCATTCTCTCTCAATCTACACTCGGAAATGCAGCGGCAGAGATCGATTTTGTCTTTCTTCCAGAAGCCCTCGCCGGCGACTCAGGATTTAGGTTCTGGCGATGGTACTACCGTCGGAGGAGGAAAATCACGATTTACTGTGAAGGAAGGGGATGTTAACGGCGGCGCTTCGGTACGCTCTGTGGAGCGAAATGTATGGAAATCTGTGGATGAGGTCAGGGGAACGGATACCCCGCCGGAGAAAGTTCCGCGTCGTGTCCTTCCGTCCAGCTTCAAGGCGGCTGATGCTGAATCCGCCGGAGGTGGTGCTTCGTCGTCGCTCTTCTCCAATATCATGCACAAGTTTGTGAAAGTCGACGATCGAGAATGTTCTGGAAAGAGGTACTATCTTCGCTTCTCTTGATTTTGAATCATCAGCTGGACTCGGTAAACATTAGGTCTAGGTTCGATTCTTTGTAGTCGCTTTCACATCCTATTAGTAGCACTAGGGTGAAACCAGTCACTTAATACTGCATTACTATATGGAAGATTGTTTATGTTTCTTTAGGACTTAGGAGAAGAAGAGTAATGAAATGTTGTTCATTGTGGAGTTTCTGATTACTGGCTTGGATCATTGTTTGTACAAATTTTCAGGAGCCGAGAAGGTGTTGTTCCGCTTGATGATTCGTCTGTATATATGAAGGCTGATGATGTTTTCCCTGAGAGTCGTTCTAATAATGGTCGACCACAGGAAAGAGACCAAGCTTTTAGCTTCAGTGGGACAGCTGATGTAAGAACGGTAGAAGATGTAGATAACGATGTTCTTGGCCCAGAAACACCAGGGATGCGTCCAAGTGTTCCTCGCTTGAAGAGAGCTCTGGAGGATGAGATGGGTTTTAAGGAGGACAAGGTCCCTGTATTGGATTCTAACAAACGGCTGAAAATGCTCCAGGATCCGATTTGTGGAGAGAAGAAAGTAGTAAACGAAGGAACCAAATTCGAATGGCTTGAGCCTTCTCGGATCAGGGACGCCAATAGAAGACGCCCTGATGATCCCCTTTACGACAGAAAGACCCTGTACATACCAACTGATGTTTTCAAAAAGATGTCTGCTTCTCAGAAGCAGTATTGGAGTGTCAAGAGTGAATATATGGATGTCGTGCTTTTCTTTAAAGTGGTTAGTAAATATCAATCTAGTATTCAATCCATTTCCTCAATGCGATTGGTTTACTTACATCTGCGTACATTTATTTTCTTCTCAGGGAAAATTTTATGAGCTGTATGAGCTAGATGCAGAAGTAGGCCACAAGGAGCTTGACTGGAAGATGACCATGAGCGGCGTGGGAAAATGCAGACAGGTAAGTTAGTTGAAACAACTGTCCCTCTTCATTTATTGCTTTGACTAAGCCTATAGATTTGACGTCTCTTCTCTTTATCAGGTCGGTATCTCTGAAAGTGGGATAGATGATGCAGTGCAGAAGCTAGTAGCTCGTGGGTAAGGAAACTTTCGTACTTTGTGGAATCCATTTTCTGCCACTTTAGTTAGGATTTAAAAAAAAATGGATAGCACTTCAGCCATCATCAGCTAGGATTCTGTTTTCCTAGGATATGTTTTCTTCTTGGTTCTCATTTTAAAATAAGCCTTTTCATCGTAGAGTTAAGGACAGTAGTTGAACAATAACTGTGTGCTCTCACTGTCATGGTAGAGTTACAATATTTGCTAGGTAACTATAGCAATAGTTACCAACAATTTCTTTTTTGTGTGCAACTTATAGCAACGGTTACTGATACTTATGTTTGCTTTATATGTGGTACACTCATTTTTCTTTCTTGGAGAGGGTTACAAGCCTTGCGTTTATGACTCTATGTTGTTAATAGGAACTTACAAGCATATGAAGGGTTCAAATGCTTTCCTTCTTCACGACTTTTGTATTGACACATACATTGTTTATTTTGAAAGATATAAAGTTGGACGAATCGAGCAGCTAGAAACATCTGACCAAGCAAAAGCCAGAGGTGCAAGTAGTGTAAGTTGTCTTGGGAACAAGTCAAAGAGGGTGCAGACTGTTCTTGATCATTTCTTTTTCTGTTACACTAGTTTCATACTGTAATTAATTTGATGACTGTTCTGGTCTGGTTATCAGATAATTCCGAGGAAGCTAGTTCAAGTATTCACTCCATCAACAGCAAGCGAGGGTAACATTGGTCCTGATGCCGTCCATCTCCTTGCTATAAAAGAGGTTTGTCGATTTGGATAACTGTTTAGGAGTAGCTCAGAAATTGGCATAATGAAGTGATGCCAATGTGCTTCTGAATTTTGACTTTAGGTCAAAATGGAGCTAGAGAAGTCTTCAACTGCGTATGGATTTGCTTTCGTTGACTGTGCTGCCTTGAGGTTTTGGGTCGGGTCCATCAGTGATGATGCATCATGTGCTGCTCTTGGAGCTTTATTGATGCAGGTATGCAAGTGTGTTCTGTATCTTGCGTCTGCTATGTAACTTTGTGCCCTTAATTTTTGGTTTGCAGGAATTAATTATTTCTAAAGCATCTTTTGGTATCTTTTCCAGGTTTCTCCAAAGGAAGTGGTATATGAAAGTAAAGGTAAACTGCTTGTACACTCAGTTTCAAACAGAATCTGTAGCTGAGACTGCTTAATTTTAAGTGTGTAAATGTTTAAATATTGCAGGGCTATCAAGAGAAGCCCAAAAGGCTCTAAGGAAATATACATTGACAGGTACCATTTCAGTAGGCAACTTGACTGAAAGTATAGGAAAATATGCTCTTAAGTGATCATCATGCAGATTCATGCATGATTTTTTTTCTTCTTTTAGCTGCTCACCCAATGATAGATTATGTCGGTGTTTCATTATTATAGGGTCTACGGCTGTACAATTGTCTCCGATACCACAAGTAATGGCGGATACAGATGCATGTGGAGTGAGAACTATGATAGAATCGAGTGGATACTTTAGAGGTTCTTCTGAATCATGGAACTCTGCCGTTGATAGTTTAACTGAATGTGATATTGCCCTTGGTGCTCTTGGAGAACTAATCAATCATCTTTCTAGGCTAAAGGTGGGCTGTCTTTGTTAGTTTTCGCTTTTCACAAGTTTAGCAAAGAGAAATCTGCATAACTCAAAGGTTCAATCTTCTTGCAGCTAGAAGATGTACTTAAGAATGGGGATATTTATCCATACCAAGTTTACAGAGGTTGTCTCAGGATTGATGGTCAGACGATGGTAAATCTTGAGATATTCAACAATAGCTGTGACGGTGGTCCTTCAGGCAAGTGCATGTTTTTTTATTGCATGAAATAATACTCCAATACTTCGTACCTATCTAATTTTTGTTTGCCTCTGCAGGGACCTTGTACAAATATCTTGATAACTGTGTTAGTCCAACTGGTAAGCGGCTCTTAAGGAATTGGATCTGCCATCCACTCAAAGATGCAGGGAGCATCAATAAAAGACTTGATCTAGTTGAGGAATTCACGGCAAATTCAGAAATTATGCATATCACTGGCCAGTATCTCCATAAACTTCCAGACTTGGAAAGACTGCTCGGACGCATTAAGTCTAGCGTTCAGTCAACAGCCTCTGTTTTGCCTGCTCTCCTTGGGAAAAAAGTGCTGAAACAACGAGTAAGTATTCTGATTTTTATAGGGCTTAAACATTACAAATCTAGCTAACAATATTCTAAGTTTTTTTTGCGCAGTCTCTAAACTTATTGCATTTCAGGTTAAAGCATTTGGACAAATTGTGAAAGGGTTCAGAAGTGGAATTGATCTGTTGTTGGCTCTACAGAAGGAATCGAATATGATGAGACTGCTTTGTAAACTCTGTAAACTTCCTGTATTAGTTGGAAAAAGTGGGCTAGAGTTATTCCTTTCTCAATTCGAAGCAGCCATAGATAGCGACTTTCCTAATTATCAGGTGCCCTTCTCTCTTGCGAATTCATAACTAAACAACAAAATTTATGTCACTGCTCATAGACATGCACAATAGCTAGCCTTGATCTATGTTCATTTCTTCTTAAATTTGATTATGCATGTGCTTTTATCAGCAGATGAAGTCGAATACCATCTGCATATTGCTTAGATCTCGACTCATGGATACTAAAAAGAACTTTTCGAATTTGGTTTTGTATAAGGTTTGATATGTAGACGAATTCGAATAGCTAGTTAGTTTGTTCATACTGTTGATACTTGACATCATCTGCATATGGCTTGTATCTAACTGTAAGTTTATTAATCTTGTACTAGAACCAAGACGTGACAGAGGAGAATGCTGACACTCTCACAATACTCATTGAACTATTCATCGAAAGAGCCACTGATTGGTCTGAGGTGATTCACACCATAAGTTGCCTCGACGTCCTGAGATCTTTTGCAATCGTTGCGAGTCTCTCTGCTGGAAGCATGGCCAGGCCTGTTATTTTCCCGGAAACAAACGGGCCGATACTTAGAATCCAAGGACTATGGCATCCATTTGCTGTTGCAGCCGATGGTCAACTTCCTGTTCCAAACGATTTACTCCTTGGTGAGTCTCGAAGCAGCATTATTTATCCTCGGTCTTTGTTACTAACCGGACCGAACATGGGTGGAAAATCAACTCTACTTCGTGCAACGTGTCTCGCCGTTATCTTTGCCCAAGTATGTTACACAAATCACTGCTTTTATCTCTTGAATCTTCCATTGTTCTATATACGATAAAAAAATGAAATTTCCTTTTTTTTTATTATATGTGTAGCTTGGTTGTTACGTGCCTTGTGAGACATGTGAACTCTCTCCAGTAGATACTATCTTCACAAGGCTTGGCGCATCTGATAGAATCATGACAGGAGAGAGTAAGTTTTTACTCTCTTTTCTTTTTCACAAAATTAACTTTGCTCTGATAAGGAAAAATCTGATTAATTTTTATCTCTTTTGTAAGGTACATTCTTGGTGGAATGTACTGAGACTGCATCAGTTCTTCAAAACGCAACTCAGGATTCACTTGTGATCCTTGACGAGCTTGGTAGAGGAACTAGTACTTTCGACGGATACGCCATTGCATATTCTGTAATTACTCGTCTTCTTCTCCATCAATTTTTTAACTCTTTTGATCGACAAAACACTTATCGATTGTTGTATCAGGTTTTTCGTCACCTAGTAGAGAGAGTCCAGTGTCGGATGCTCTTCGCAACGCATTACCACCCTCTCACAAAGGAGTTCTCGTCTCACCCACGTGTCACCTTGAAACACATGGCTTGCGCATTCAGACCAAGATCCGACCAAGAACTACTTGGCTGCGAGCAAGACCTTGTGTTCTTGTACCGTTTGACCGATGGAGCTTGTCCTGAGAGCTACGGACTTCAAGTGGCTCTCATGGCTGGGATACCAAATCAAGTCGTTGATGCAGCATCGTCCGCTGCGCAAGCCATGAAGAGATCGATCGGTGAAAACTTCAAGTCGAGTGAGCTAAGGTCCGAGTTCTCAAGTCTGCACGAAGAATGGCTCAAGACATTGGTTGGTATCTCTCAAGTCGTCCGCAACGATAACAACAAGGCCATGTATGAGGAAGAAGATGTCCACGACACTTTGATTTGCTTATGGCATGAGCTCAAATCCTCGTTTGCTGTGTTGACCAAGTAAAGGCCATATGACATAACTATCTATTGCCCGTTTTGTGATTAAACCGGACATAACCACTTCTTTCCATAAGCAATTCGTTCATCTTGCTCAATTTTCAGAAGCTTAACGTCATTTAGTAACTGGATTTCTTACAAAAGCTGAGATATAGAGATTGATTGGATAAACTCAAGAGGAACATTAATCTTCTGTAACAGCAAAATGTAATACAATGCCTAGATTTGAGGGAAATGGTCTTGGTAATAATTTTTTTAGGATTTTCACATATATTAAAAGAAATTATCATTGATTACATTTTACAATATTTTTGTTTCAATTTAATACCATTAGGTATTTATCTGTATTTTGCTGTGGAATATTTTTTTAAATTTTGTATATAATTCTAATATAAAAAAGTTTTTTTTTGTATTGTAAATAAATATTATATATATTTTATTACGTGAAGTTCTGTATTTATATGTCTTAAATCTGAATAAACATTGTATATCTTTAATTTTTTTTTTCAAAATTATAATTTGCTATCAAATTTGTTTAAATAATTAACTATAAAAATATATATAAACATAAAACAATACATTTTTGAAAAAGCAAAATGGCAAATGTAATCTATTTTTTTCACTAAATTGCCATTTGAGCATCTCCTTGTAATTATATAAAGCAAAATGCCACTTTAAAAAAATGATTTATTAATTAATATGATTATTTTAAATTATAAAATTTATTTATTTATCAAATATTTTTTATAAACATAAGTTTCTAAAACCACCACACTATAATCAATAAAATTTTATTTTAAAACCATTGTTATTGTTATAGAACTAAATAGAAAATTTTGTTTGAACTGTTGAAATATCGATTTAGTGTGAAGTGAAAATACATTCCAAATCCTCCATAAAATTGTATTTAATTAGGCTTGGCACCTCAGCTTTTTCAAGTGATATCGATACTCTTTTCCCAAGATTGTATTTAGTTTTGTGTATTTAATTAAATGCAATCATGAAAAGTATAATTTTGTGATTTTGATGAAAAATGTGACTTAATTAGTTTTTTTATTTATTAAATTTAATATTATTTAGTCATTTGTTCTTTTGGATTGAAATATCTCTATTAAGATGATCTAATTTTGTCATCCAGATGATTTTCATAAATTTGTCTAAATCTTGACCAATCATGGAGAAATTAGAAAAAAAAAAATTTACCATGGGTTTGGGAAATTAAATCTTCTAATTTTTTTTGTCCATATTTTGTCTAAATTAACATTGACCAATTAATTAAAATACTTTTAAACAAACATAGTTCCCGCAAAGTCCATTAAACCTGAGCTTTTAAAGACTAAGTTAGTGAGTTTGTTGTTTATAGAGTTTGATTCTCCATTCATATCTGATAAATTGCCTGCAATGTTTGAAAAATGATGGTACTCCTCTCCCTGATTTGAAGTTAAATAAAAAAATGATAGTGAATTTGCAAAATTTTGAGATGATTCTCTTTGAGGTGAAGAGTAGAAAATTTTTCAATGATTACAGTATTTCATTTTAAAGAGATGATCACATGTAGAAGTAATGTTAGGATTATCCTATAATACCATTATTTACCTACACCTGAAGTAATATAATGAAACATAAGAAAAGAATGAGTCTGAAGGAGAGAAAGAGTACCAAATGTCGGTAGATTGCAGTGCTAATTTATTTAGATATAGTATGGAAATAAGTCTAGAAGGTTTTTGAACATTTAGACCACTGATGAGGTTCAGCAATGATGATTAATGGATAATGTTGTGGATTTATGTGTTGAATTTAGAATGCTGTGAATATCTAAGAAGAAATACATGGTGGTTCGATTTGGTCTAGTTATTGGAGTGTGTGGATTACAAGATGAACAGTCAAAACAATGATCTATGACAAGGTGAGTTCCGGCGTTTTCAAACCTCGACTCTGTAATTTGTTTTTTGTTTGCTTTAGGGCAAGCAAAAGCTAAGTCTGGAGGAGTTGATAAATTATGGTTTTTACCGGTTTTTAACTATGATATAAGTTCTTTTATAGTCTTTTTGGTATTTTTCGAGTCTTTACAGGTCCAAGTGCGTTTGGAGCATAATTGGAGATTCGAAGAGCATTTTGAAGCTATGTTAAAGTTGATGCTGAAAAGACCAAGTCGGAGAGCAAATTGGAGCAGGGTGTCGATCGACACCACTCCTTAGTGTCGATCGATACCGATCGTGATGCAAAGATTCTGAGTGTTTCAGCCGACCTCTGAAGAAAAGGAATCTTGCCCTATTATTTCCATTTATTTGCAAACTGGCCCAAACCTGTTCTAGACTATAAGTAGAGATTTTACGGTCATTGTTTTAGACCTAAGCTTTATTTTAAACAGAGATTAAGAAAGAGAGTTTTAGCAGAGCTTTTGGAGAGATAAATCAGTCTCCTTCTTCTATTGATTTTTTCATGCTTTCTATTCAAATTATGATTTTTGTTTTATTGATCATGTCTGAGTAGTTTGCTTGTTAGGTTTAGGATTTTTCAAAGGTGATGATGAATTGCTTGATTAAATTGAATTGTTAGGATAAAATCATTAGAGTTCTTCATCTGAATTTGTGTTTATTGGTTATTATAGCTTCGCGACCTAGAATTTGATATTAGATTGATTAATAGATGCGAGATTATTGTTAATTGTGTGAACTAATCTTATATGAGCTAAATTCCTCTCTGCAAAGAGATTTGATTTAGAATTTTGTAAACAATTGAACCTGATTTTAATGCTTGTTTGAATTGTTTGAATTTGTAAAGAGATTTGGCATTCTAGGATTTCGATATAGATAATCTCTGCAACGAGAGTTGATTGAATTTACATTAGTGTTTCAAGTTCAAGAAAAATGCTTAATAAATTCCTAACATTCTGTCTAGATTTGCAATTTGGATCCATTTGAAAATTTCCCAAGGCCTAGCGTTTGTCTCTTTGATTTAAAACCTTCGCAATCGATCTTCTGCTACTTTTTATTAGTTACTTGATTTAAACTTCTCAATCGCTCTTAGCATAATTCAAACTGAAATCTGTTTGGTGATTATTTCAATTCTCTGCTGATTCGACCCTTAAGTACTACATTGATCTCTTAATATGAGAGAGTACCTCTAAGGATAATTTGAGCATATCAGTTCAAGATCTCCTCTTCCGTTTAGAGTGATCAAGTGACTTCCTCCTATCTTCTTGTGGCTTTAGAGGTTTTGATTTAATGTCTTGTCTTCTGCTTAAAATCAACTAAAATCTATATAATAGTTTACATAGAATAAAGTATATGTACATCAAGCTTAATTGATATAGAAATTATACAAAATTGCTTGTGTATTCAGAGTTGACCTTATTGAAATTGTGATGGTCAGATATTTTTGTAGGTTTCTTTATAGAATGTTGAGAAATATTGAGCTCTAATAACAAAAAAATTGCAAAACACTAAGATGTATCACTTTATTAAGAATTTTATAACAACTAATGACCCTTATGCAATTTTCTCTTTAATATATCTAAAGCTTAAGAAACTCTTCATTAAGAAACTCTGTCGTATTAGATTTGCTCACAACACTTTGAACTCCAATCATAGATAACTCTTCCACTTCTCTTGCTTGACAAACAGTTTCGGCACTTATTGATTAATAGAAACATAATCTTGTTAAAGCAAACACAAAAAGCTTTAAAGGTTTTCTTTCCAAAATATGAAGAGAAGAGATAAATAAAACTCAGATCAGAGCTTTCTGTAACTGATGTCTGTTTCTGAAGCTGCTCAATGGTTTTCATTACCGAGCTCTCCAAGCTATTATGAGTCTCTGATGCATCTCTTCTTCAACATTTTTCACTTTCATATCGTCGACTAAATCCTTGTTTTATGGTTCTATTTCTTGGATTCCTTTACTTATTTATTTGTAAAAATGATTTAAAAATGAGTAAATGATATAAGTGAAACTATTATCAAGAGAAACTTTTATCTCCATTTTTGTCTCCACTTGCAAGAAACACCTGATCTTGCGTAGTCTCTAAGGAGACAAACTCCAATTGAGACATATCATCTCCTTTGTTCATTTTTTAATGAATCAAAATCTCCGAATAAATCTGAGAAATTGACACAGACTCATAAAGCAATAGGCTTCTTGCTGAGGGAGAGGGTTCTATGTACTGTTTGTGTTTACCTTAACTAAAGCATCTTTGGAATTATAAAAAAAATTGTTTTAAGTTAATTAAATGCTTTTAAGGTGTCATTTTGTTTGGAGACCCTACATAACATTATGAGACCATATGATCTGTAAATATTTCACATAAAATCGCATAGAACTTTTAGTTTCTAAGTTAGAAGTACCATGCTATAGATAATATTCTAACCGTTACAAAATAATTTTAGCCTTGACTTTATTATTTCAAGATTAGTAGTCCACCAAATCTATAGATAATTGTTAGAGGGGAAATGAGCACATTTCCTAAAAAACCTTCCCCGCAATAACTTAAGCCCATCAAGACCAAGAAGACCGCGCCGACCTAGCTCGGATTTAAGGAAATCTCTTAAAGATAACCTTTGAAGACCGGAAACATCGGATTAATTCAGAGGATAAAGGAGAATTTCTTTATCCCTCGGAGAATAAAGAATATTTCCATTTCTGAGATATGGAAATACACTCAAAGACAAAAAGGAAAAGGAGATCGGAGCAACCGACCTCCTATCCCTATAAATAGAGGGGACCCCGAAGCCAAGAGGATCATCCAATACATTCTAGAGAGCAATAGAGCTGAAACCAGAGACTCCAACGCCTTCTAGTTTATCTCACAAACACCTTTTTCACTTCGGTATAACTTAACGGTTATCCTTTTTCTTGTAATCGCTTCGCTTATTACTATTAATAAAAAGACTTTATTCTCTGAAACCCACAACTATTAATCAAACCCTAGTTGTGAGTTTCTGGTTCAACAATTGGCGCCGTCTGTGGGGAATAGGAGAATAACTTCTTTAAAAGCCAAGTAAGAAAGCCAAAGCGATGAGCCTCCCCGTTGACAACAGCGATCTTATTCACACCGACAGCCCTACTACCGCGATCCCACCACCCACAGAAAAACACGTTCGAGCAACCATCAACGGTACCCACATGATTTTAGGAGGAATATTTCACGATCCCAGCTCGCTGCAAGAAATAAGACAACACGAAGAAAAGGCGGCGGCGGCAAAGCGAGATCCACCCATCCCAAGATACGAGACGCCGATAGAATTCATAACGGAGGATCAACGTAGCTCGCACGAACCACACTTCGACCCGCTAGTCATAACTTTTACAGATTCATGACAGCACGATCGCCAAAGTCCTGATCGACGGTGGGAGCACAATC